GGGCATCTCGAGTCGCAATCAGTGATGAAGGCATGGAGTTGCGGGTTTTCCTTCACCCCTCTTGCCTCTTCATTCTGCCTCTGGGATGCTAGTGCAGAGACCTGTTCTTGCAGCATTTCAAGCCTGCGTTTCAGCAGATTTAGATCTCTGCCTCCATCATCTCAGCATCAAAGAATAGCGTCGGTCAAATGATGAACTCACGAAGCGGGACGGCCGGGCCTAGTTCGTTCGGCATAATTGCAGCGGAAGAAAGACCGGGTACATTGGTGACATGGAGATTTCCCATCGCATTTGACCTTGCGCCTCTTGCATTCTTCACTGTCGTACGGGTAGGCACCATCAGCAATCAGGAGACAACAGCAAGAGTCTCTTCGGACGTACCAGGCCTTTGGGGCATATCTAGTTCGTTTCCCTCGCACTGGCCGATTCAAATAGGTCGGAGGTGCTTCTACCATCACGGATACATGTTCAGAGGGGTGCAAATCTCCCATCATGGTCGTCTGGTTCATGATCCGACTTCTGGCATGGTCAAGGTCACCCATGCTAGCAAAAGGTGATTGTCGCTATGCAGATACCTCACAAGGAAGGTGAATGCTCTCTAGAAAAGCAGGGGGCAAATACTAGTCGAACTCTTCATGCATTTCGGCTACACCAGGCTGAGCTAAGGAGCGGGGTTTGGGACTAGGGCATTTAGCGAGAGGTATACGAGCCTTTCGGCTTCAAAACGCGGCTCATTTTGCACTCCTCGACATCTCGGTTCTACATGGGAATCCTGATGCGAGCTCTCCCATGAGCGGGCTGGTACGAGGTGAAGACTGAAATACTGCGTCTGTTCGCATCACTGCCTCTATATGTATTTGAAGCACGTTCTTCCGTATGCTAATGGTTGACCCACCCTCCATCAACGCGGTAATTACTCCCTGACACCATTGACGCCTCGTCGCTGGCTAGGAACAAGAACACCTTCGCAACTTCCATGGGTTCCGCCGCCCTCCCTGCAGTGGGGTTAATCAAAGTTCTGCGCATTCGCATTTCATGTATGGTCCAGCAACGGCGGGCAAGGATGAGCGGCTGGGAAACGGTGAGACTTACCGGCTGGAGTAGCTTCAAGGCGGGCTTCGAGGTCCTCAAAGACATTGATCATAGATGTCCGTACATAGCCGGGTGAAACTGCGTTGACTCTGATCTTGTCCCTTGCGAACTCCTGCGCCGCAGTGATCATGAGAGCACGAACTGCGAACTTGGCCATGCTGTAGGCACACACCCCGGGGTGAGCCACCAGACTGGCAATGCTTGCTGTGCAAATGATACTACCACCCACGCCCAGGCTCTTCATCTTCTGCGCGGAATATTTCACTCCGAGGAATGCTGGATCCATGCGGCCATTGTGAGTCTCATCTCTTTCACGAAGCTAGCCAAAAAATAAAAAATAAAAAATGGCAGGGCCAGAGAACGAGACAGAGCACCTACGACCACGAGCGTTGATGCGCATCATACGATCATATTCCGCAGCAGTCAAGTCGGAGATGAAAAATTGAGTCCCGATGCCGGCGTTGAGTACTGCAATATCCAAACTTCCAAAATCTTGGACGCACTTGTCCACAAAGGCGATCACCGACTCTTCATCACTCGCATCGGCCTGGTGAAACTTAACAATGTCTGACGCGAGCCCTTGTGAGGAGAGGAGTGAGCGCGCCGACTCAATGTTCGCAGCAGAATAGTCGACAACAAGCACCTTGGCGCCTTCCGTCAAGAAGGTTTGTGCTACCGCCAGGCCTATTCCTGACGCCCCTCCTGTAATCAGGGCAACTTTTCCAGCGAGACGATTCAGATTCTGAGAAGCCATGGAGGGATTGAACTTGACAATGGTGTGGAGAGGGTGGTATATGTTTTGATAGCTTGATGAAGAGAGGGAATTTCAAGGGCTTGAAGAGCTAGCCCAGTCGTGTAAAGATTCCACGAAGCCGAAGAAAGAGCCCACTAACCCTGCTGGTCAATGAATGCCAACAGGCCTGGTAGCGGCGGTCATGATCCGCATGAATTTCTGAACATGTAGTACTAGGCCAGTCCCTGGTGAAGATGCTGCGGAATATGAGAAGAACTAGCCCACTTTGCGGAGCCTCGTGGTTGCCGAGTTCGGTTAAATATAGGGAGACAGGGGTCGGAATTCGGAACCACGCAGCGAATTCGGCCAGCATGACCTCTGACCTGGCAATTATTGGAGTCTGTTAGACTTGAATCTGAGTCTAGGCGACCATGATATTCCGCTTGTGGGATGCTGGTGCCAAATTTCTCCGGGGAAGATGTCGCACTTGCTCCCCACAATGAGGGGAAGGGATAGGCATTCTATTAAGGCCCTAGTCTTCATCAGCCAGTGGACCGAGGTTGCTCTCTTCACATTCGCCGCCAAGTGCAAGAAGAATGTAAGCAGACTTAGCCTCAAATGGAGGGGGGGACGTAACTTCTCAGGAGTGGTTGATACAAGTTTGAGAATGAGGGAAGGGATTGAATTCGACAAAGCAGTCAATGTGTCAACGGATTGAGGAATTGCAGCGAAGTCGAGTCGCCTGACTTCCTAACAATATGACATGTGAGAGGCCAAGAAATGAAATGAGCTGTCCTTCCTACTACTTCAACAACAGCGTGCTCTTCGGCACCATGCCTTCGACTTTATTCTCCATCCGCTGTCACGCCATAAACACTCGCTTCTCCCTTGGCCATGTAGTCAAACGATTCCTCGCTCGTCGTGGTCGCGGGTGGGCTCGGTGTCTCATCTCCATGTCCACTCTTCTTGTCTTGTCCCACGTCAGCGGCGAGGTCTCTTGTCTTGTTGTCGTCGTCTGCTGTTGCCGGCGCAGCCCGCCTTCCTTCCCACAAAATACCATCCCCAAATCCCCAGCCGAGCCCCTTCTTCGTCCGGTGGGCTTCTTCCTCCATTAACCTTAATCCTGGTTGCGCATCCTTCCCTCCAGTGGCCTTCAACGGGAGATTTCTCTTGTGCCACTCCCCTAAAAACATGCCCTCGGGATCGCTTTCATCCCTGATTTTCATGAAGTCACGCATATCATCGCCATATGCCTCGTTAATATATCCACCCGACGCATCTGAGAAATTCTTCGCCCAGTGTGGCTTTCCACCGAGCTCTCGCATGAGATATTCAAAGGCCTCGTAGTAGGTGACATGACAAGGTGGATCACGGCCGTACGGCCGGTATAAAGTCGCATTCAGATATAGCGTCGGGCCGTCGGGGACAGTAGGGTCAAGGTACGGTCTCACACCGGAACGGTTGGGGGCATCCTGACCAGTATGGGTGACACGAACTTCAACGGGGCAATGCACCCAGATTCCTTTACTAGAGATGGGAATTCGCGCGGCAGCATCGTCATGGTTGATCCACGCGGAGAGCCGAGTGATCGCCTCAGGACCCTTGTCCAGTGGCAGGGCCCATTCGTTCACAAATTGAGAATAGAGGCAGTCCATGAGCAGCCCCTCCCGGGCGGGCTGCACCGCGGACATGACAAAGCTGCCCGGTTTGAAGCCATATTGCATGCCGAAAACGAACCATTCTATCCATGGCAAAATTCGGGGGAAGGTGTTGGATAGCCAGAGCAAATTGTGATATACGTAGTAGCCGAACATGCCTCCGTAGAAAGTTGTGTTCGGGGGGCGACTGGGGGAGTCGGTTCTTGAGCCGCGCCAGATCACTGCGCGTTTGAGATAAGGAAGCCACCAAACACGAGTAAATTCGTCCTTTGTCCAGAGGTCGGTGTCCCATGAATCAAGAACAGAAGTCAAGGCGTGAAGGGATTGAGACCAGGAGATCTTGAAATCAGGGACGGCTTGGATGGTCATCTCGACAATAATACCTAAGGCACCCAACGAGAGAAGACCTGCGCGGAAGAGTTGTGGATTTTTCGTCACTGAGCATGTAACTAGCTGAGAATTGGAAAGAAGAATGGTCATGGAGGTGATGGATTCGGAGATCAAGCCGTGTCTGAGACTTGAACCGTGCGTTCCGGTTGATATGACTCCCGCGACCGATTGAACGTCGATAGATCCCAAGTTGGGCATAGTATAGCCGTCCTTGGCAAGCTCAACATTCAAATCATGCAGAGATATGCCAGCCTGGATGCGATAGAGGCCGGGGGTACCATCAACACTCTTCTCCAAGACTTGATTGAGGTTATCGAGGTTGACTAGCCACGACGAGGTACACGTGAGGTCGGATGGCGAATGCCCGAATCCTGTCACGCAAATGCGCTTTCGACATCTTCGTGCAAGGGTGACCACCTTCTGCAACTCGGGAATCGTAGATGGCTGAAAATACAGCTCCGGGCGTGAGAAAAATGTCTGTGCCCATGTATGATGCAGATACCGGGCTTGGGGGTTGAACGGGATGGAGTCATCGAGCCGAGACAGCTCGCGCTGTAGTTTGGGATCCAAGCTGAGATTGGCGGTGGGGCCTTTGGAGCGGGAAGAGGTGTTAGGCTTCGTCTGAGGGAGATTCGAAGCCGCCCAATCCATGGTTGTCGGCACAAGGGCAGCAAGGAGACTTCTGAGAGGTCAGTGAAGGGGGAGAAATGAGTACATTGGAGATGATTTGATATTAACGGGCAGAAGGAAATAAATGATGCCAAGGAACCTCGGGAGAGGTCTAGACTCTCGGTGACGAGCTTCATTACATAAGCAGGCCCCGATTGGATGGCGTTTGACGACACCATTTTCCACGGTAGCCTTAATACCGACCATGTGCTCCGAGTCCAATGGGCCAAGTTCGCGTACCAAGAGCACATTCCTCCAAACGAAATTCAGCTCATCCACCTTCTTTTGAAACACCTTGTGTGAAGTCTGCCAGAACTCCTCGCATCAGATTGCAAGATTTACAGGCATGCCGTGAGCCCAATCCACTAACCTAGCGGTTCAGATGCTCCAAAATCCATCCCGAATAATCGTCCCCAAATTCTTTCTGAAATCCCGGTCGTCAATCCGCCTTCGTCCGTTTACAACGTTATCCCTAGTTCCTGTATCACTTCTTCTACTCGTACACAAAGTTGTTCGTCCCGGGCGTTCGGTCTTTCAGGCCTCCATTTCCGGAAGGCCGATTTAATGTTCTGCGGAGGATCACCCATCACCACATAACAAGCAGGTAAAAGAGGTCTATCCTGAACAGATGGGGACAAGACAGCAATTTCCTGCGCCACCTGTACAGCCGTCACGAACTCGGCAGGTTTCTTTGCCGACCCACCGACGAGGCTACCAAACACAGAAGACGTCAGCACAACTCGTAACTAGAGGGAGCAAACGACCGAACTTACACATAGAGCTCCCCATAGGTGTCAAGGATGTGGATATGGTTGGCGTCAAGGTCCTTCTGACAAAATGGGGCAATTTCTTCCACTAAAGCTCTAGCGGGTTGCTTTGGGGGCGATGCTGTCCTTAAGCCCCAGAAGCCGCCGGACGACTTCGGTCTGTCATGCTCAACACGGTATAATCTGGGTGCATGACCGTGAAGCTGGCCAGTCTGGTTGCGTGGCTGGGTGGTCGGCCGTGACGGGAAAGCTTCCCAGAAGCTAGCGGGCTCTTCTCCTTCCGAGACTTCTTCAATCTCACCCGTGAGCCCCATATCCATGCCGATCAGTCTCGCACATCCCACATCTTCTGGATTGCTGCCATTTCCTTTCCAGAGATAGAGCTTCCCGAACTTGGCGGATATCAAGAACGGTAGCCCAGAAGACAGGCTATCAGCGGATAAATCAACCTCGTCGAATGCAACGTGTCCAAGGTGTCGTCTACCGCACAGCATATATAAAGCTGCTGATTTGTTCTTCCGGACTATGACGATCCCGCCTAGAGCCTGGAAAAACTCGGAACTCTCTTTGCCTTGCTTTACTACCTCTAGTTTAGTGTTGTTTTCGCGAGCAACTTTTCGGCAGAATAGTTGAGCATCCTCAACGGCTGCTTCTGGGACCTCGTCACCGCACCAGAGATATACTTCGGCACTTTTTGAGCCGCTGGGTGATTCCATTGAATGCACGCAAAGATACATACAGTCCTCGAAGAGTATGTGTTCTTGTTGGGGGGGCATGGTTGTTCTCTTCCCATCACCAGAGATTTCCCAAATCTGTTTGCCGAGAGTCTTAGACTTTTCTCCCGCATTGTTCTGAGAGGACAAGAAAGCGTGGGTATCAAATTCCGCCTTTTCTCTTGCTTGAGGCAACAATCCAAAGAAGTTCTCGAACTGGGGTTTCACCGAGCGACTAAATGTCGTGGACGACAGAGGTGTCCTAAGCGGCGCTGTTGATTTTGTCGTTGCAGCTTCCGGCTCTGGGGGCGGTGTTAGTTCTGGCGTAGCCGCTGGTTTCTTTGAGGCAGACGTAAGCTGCAGGCCAAGTCCATTGGCTTTAGATGGAGTGAACGAGGACAACTTTGTCGAGTTGTCCACTTCGAGCTTTGGCCCTTTGGGCGTATTGATCTTGAATTTGTTGGGCGTCAGAGGCGAATTCACCGCGAGCGGGGGCGATAGAGGTGCGTTCGTCCGCACACTATCAGATTGGGGAGGGGTCGATACAGCTTGAGCACGGTCGGCCAGAACTTCGAACTTCTTCGGCATTGAGGGCTTAGTTTGAGGCGGCTGCTGCACAGGCTTAGGTGGCAATGCAGGATTTGAAGCCTTTCTCAGCTCCGCAGATTTGTTAGGTTTGACCGGAAGTGGCTCGTCTGCGATATGTGATGACATTCCAGGATTTGAAGTTTTTCTTAGCTCCGCCGACTTGTTGGCGACAACTGGCTTTGGTTTGGGACTCACTTCTGCCAATACAGCCCTTGATTCGGGAGTAGACTCGTCGACAATCTTTTCGGCAGGCTTGGCCTTCTCCAACCCTGATCTTGACTGGGATGCCGCATCTTCAATGGCTACACCTGGTTTCTTGTCCTCAAAGTTTGTTGCGGGCTTGCTGGAGATCGACTCTGATTCGAATACTTGCACGGGCAACGTTCTGCCTGTATCAGAAATTGGTTGTCGTGACGATCCCGATTGTAAAATGGTGGGGCCACCGGTGCCAGAGCTCAATGTAGGCTTTTGGATAGCAGCCGCAACGGTCTCTCTTGGAGATGAGCCGCTCTTAGGTGCTCTTCTCTTAGGGCCCTTAGCCCGAGCCTTTGTCATATGAGTGAGCTCCGAGTTGCTGTCATTCGCACTCTCCTGTGACTGCGTGATAGTATCTCGCACTTGTATCACACCTCCGCCGTTGGAAGACGTGTCGCCCGGAGGTTTAGGACTTCCACTTCGCGATAAGATGCCGGCAAGTGCAGGATTAAGGCGAGCTGCAAGTTTACTGTTCTCCGGCGCTCTCATCTTGAACCCTGACTCCATGACCGGGGCGACTTCAGCCGAAGAAGTGTCTGCTCTTGGTTGGCTGTCGGCGCTGCGAGTTCCAGGCACTGATTTGAGGGGAAAAGCTGTCGTCGAGGAAGATTCAGACTTCTCAGGTTTGACTGCAGCTAATCTCTGAGCTGGAACCGGTGCTTGTTCCGTGCGTACAGAGACATTATGCTTCTCTGACGCTGGCTTTGCGGGAACGGCTTGAGGCTTTGATGTTGACACAGCAGGCTTCGGAGGCAGATCGATCGGTTTCTTGACTTCGACTTTTTCACTGGACGGACCGGTCTTATGTAGTGTCATGCGCCTTGCCAATGCTTCCGGGACAGCCTGGGCCGGCTTCTCAAGAGGACTAGGTGCATCCGAACGTTTTCCAACCGAACCACTCCCAGTTTTCATAGCTTCCTTCTTCTGCAAAATGCTTTCTTTGAATTCATCAACCCGTTTAGTTTTCTGTGGTCCGCCCGTGACATTCAACCCTGCCTTGCCTTTGGTGATGTTGTCTTTCAGGACGTCGGGAGCGACATAGTTCTGTGTTTGCGTCCTCTTCAGTTTCCCAAACACAGCTTTGAACTCTGGTTCTGTGTCGCTATTGCTCGCGGGCGCTGCTTGCCGTGACTTCAACGTAGCTCTAAAATCGGTCTTTGGAGGTGTCTGTGGTTTTGGCTTCAGCATCGGCGGCTTCAAGTCGGAAGAAGTGTCTTCCTGCAATTCGTCGACTGAATATTCATTGTTTTTGCTTGATGATGCCGTTGCAGCCTCAGACTTAATGCTCAAGCTTGCGCCCTGTGAAATAGGCGTGACATTTCTTTTAGACGGAACTGCCGGTTTCTCATCCCTTTTCTCCATGTGGGGCCGCTGGATCTCTGGTGTGCGTACGTCGCCTGGCACAGACGATCCTTCTGCTAGTCCCTTTGTTGAATTCTCTGCCTCGTCTGCCGATCGTCGGGAAGTGTCTTCGCGAGAAGCCAGCTCATTCAGGGACGTTGACTCTGACGAAGATGAAATCAGGGGGTTTGGCGCAACTGCGTGCTTCGCTGGTACATTTTCAGTGGCTTCGGATGATCGCTGCTGCTGCTGCTCTTGTTTAGCACGCTGCATGCTGAGCTTCCATGCAGGTGTCTCAGGTTTAGCCGGGGTAAATCTCGGAGAATCTGGTTTGTTAAGTGCACTTTCAAGCCAACTGGCTTTGGTCGGACTCCAGCGACGAGGATCCATAGTTTTCGATGGGCTGCGAGACAAGAGCGTTTCGGATGGCGGTGGAGTGGTCGGGCGATTCTGATGTTGTATTTTGGCGACTTCGAGATCAGCGGGGATACCTTGTCCATCGGCAGGCTGAGCCTCTGAACATGCTGCAGAGTCGTTGTTTGGACGGCTCTGCGGACGGGCTTTGGTAAGGGGAATGGGTTCGGTGCCATGGCTAGAAACAGGTCTGGAGCTTGATAGCGGGGACGAATTGCCTTCCCGCACACCTCTGACATCCCTGGAAGGGCCACGAGTGTGCCCAGGAGTGAAGGCTGATGCCCCAGAAACATGGACCGGACGAGCTGTGGCAACAGAGTCACCTCGCTTCAAGCCTGCATTTGCCTGTACGCTCCATCTTTTGCTCACACTATCTGATCTTTTCATCATTGCGCTCTCAACAAACCCACCCAAACCCTTGGTGGGTGAAGGAGGGCGCCCCGCAGATGACAAAATGCTCGAGGTTCTTCCCTGACCAGATGTGTCGGCTGTGAACGAAGTCTTCAGGTCCAATGGCTTGAAACTCGGTAAGTCCAAAGCAGGAGGCTTTTCCGGTGACAAGGACACCGTGGAGAGCGGTATCGTTGGCTTCGTGTCTTCCTGGTTTGACAATTGTCCTTGCTTGAGGAAAGATGATTTCGGAGGGGACGAGGGGGGAGTTGCTTTCTCGGGATCATCCCTTGAGGGGTTCTCTGAAGTATGGGAATCCTTAGACATGCCTGGGAGCCTCATGCCCCGGCTCGGGAAGGATGGAGCTGCCTCCGGATCTGTCTCATTCTTACGATACGCAGCCGAACCAATACCTCGATCAGCAGTCTGACGGAACCAGGAAGGGTCTTTGGCGCCCAACGAAGCAGCAATATCTTTCCTCGACATGTCGTCGATGTGCTTTGGCAGACCAGGGCCTAGAACCAGGGCTGAATCAGGGATGGATGCCACGGATAGCGGCCGTTGTCTTGAGCCGACTCCTTTCGATGAAGGTCGTTGTTGCCATGATAGAGTCCCGCTTCTGGAGAGCACAGTGGCATTCAGAGACGGGCTGGGCAAAGATGGTTTATCGCTTGCAGGTGGAGGTGGGAGAGGTCGTGTGAAATCTAGCCCAGAAGCTGCAGCTCGCTCGGGCCTTGGAGATATGGAGTCGGAACGACCAATTGTATGAGGCTGGAGAGAAGGAGGCGTAAGGGCTATGGGAGGGTCAATTCCCTGTGTGGACTTTGGAGCACTCTCTCCAACAAGTCGCAAGGATGGTGTAGGGCCGGTTTTCGAGGGGGACAGAGACCGAGCGCGTTCTGCATATCATCAGCATCTCCGTTGCATCCTGTGGTACGAGACTCCGTTGATATATACCTGCTCTTCTCGCCTGTCTCTCTTTTCTAGCCTGCAACATCTCCTCCTCCATTCTCTTTGATCGCTCGGCATCTTCTTGTCCCTGCTTTGAACTCAGGCTGGCAATTCGGGCGAGGAACTGGTCGACGGACTCGGAGCCATCATTCGACGCGTCCATGTTGACTGGTGCGCAAGAGGTTGGCTTTCAATCGGTGACAGTCAGTGCTAAAGGTAAAGATTATGCCGCAATCTGCATTGGGAACGACTGAAAAGGAACGGCCGGCGGCTGGCGTGCGCAAAGGATAAGCGAGCGAGGTCGAAAAGAAGGTTTAGGAGGCAAGCGACCAGCAAAGAATAGTGTGGTGAGGAAGTAGTGGTACGGCCGGCAGGATAATGTGTGGATTGTATCGATTGTTGATGGGTGATGCGTGCAGTGCGTGGTGTGGTTGCGAGAGGCAAAGAGGAGCGGGCACGCGGGACTTCGGGAACACACGCGCACGCCGCACACGTCTCCGCAGCCAAATCCAAAACTCGACCAACAGTACTTGGTGGTTTGTTTATTTTCCTCCACCTCCTCTTCTTCTCTTACTACTTCTTCTTTTCCGGCGCCATCGACTCTCGTTCCTAGCCTGCCTCTCAGTTGTGGTTGAAGGTCGATGCGACGATAGCGAACAGGAGGTTTCAAGATGTTGAAATCAAGTAGGGACTAGATAGGGCTGATGGCCACTTTGGTCTGGCCGGCATCAGGCCAATTTACCCCCTGTGCTTTTGCTTTGCAGGGGTCCCATGTGGCTTGCTTAAATATCGCTGGCGGCTTCGCTCCATCATTCCTTCTTTCTAGCCATGGTCAGTCTCTACTGGGTACTGTACTGTATCAGTACAAGAACAACCGATCCCGTGCATCCTGCACTACCCAATCCAGGCCTTTCTCCAGATTCTCGCCTGTCATCGCACTGCAAGGGATGACAACCCAACGGTGAGTCAAGATCCGCTTGAGATCAAGCAGCTGAGTGACCTCTTCCTGGGTCATCCCACCTGCAACGTCGGTCTTGTTCAAGAAGACCAGCAGACTTGCTCCGGCTAACCGCTTGTTCCTGTCAGCGGCTATACGGCTATGGCGAATGCTAGCGTACCTCTTCGAGCAGCAGTCCCTTAAGCTCGGCCTTGCAGTCGTCCATCCGTAGTCGGTCTGTGGCGTCCACCACCCAGATGAGAGCATCAGTCTTCTCGAAATAGTTCCTCCAGTATGATCTAATAGTTTTCTGGCCTCCAACATCCCAGATATTGAGCTTGTAACTGCATCGCCATCCATTAGTGTCCCCTGTGCCATGTTGTCAGAGCTGGCAGTACCCCTGGAAATCAATGGTTTTGATGATGAACCCCAGCGTAGGACTGACAGTATTGACATCTTCCTTCATGATCTTCTTGACGATGGTGGTTTTGCCAGCATTATCAAGTCCTCTGGAACAAATCAGCCTCTTGTGTTTGTAGGAGGATTGAGCCGCTGTACAGCATCAGAATACGCATCTCCTTATCTTTCAACCGCGCTTTGCGAAGTATGGAGAGCATGGCGATGACTTGCCTGCGTCCATTGACGCATACGAACAAGGAGCCGGCAAATGCAGAATGGATGGTTGGTAGTCCTTTGTGACCCTTTGATGGCGGTGTTACCGTAGTTTCTGTGCACGTACTGGCACGTGCTCGACACGAACAGCAACTCGCTGCCACACAGTCCATGTGACAAGTGTTCACGTGAGAGATCGCTGATTGGCGCAGTCTGTAGTGACGCTCTGAAGCAGCAACGAATTAACGTCTGGTGTTTACACTTCGTCGACTTCACTTTCATCGCTTCACAGTTGTCGGGTCTCAGTCTCACCTTGCGCAACCGTTGTCCGTGACTTCCACAGCCATGGCGCAGACTCAGACATCTGTGGCTAGCCGTCTTCCGGCTTGCATGACCTGTGACGAACATCTCAAACTCTCATTTATCCATCCTTCTGATGACTCTGAGGCAAAAGCATCTAGCCAAGAAGGACAAGCCGTTTCTGCCCCTACTCTTAGTCCATCAACCTTGGACATTGGCCTTTCAAATTCAACTCACCGCGGATTGATGCTCTCTCTAAGATCACCGCAACAGATTGCCCATGCCAGTGACAACCCTCCAGTAGAAGCACGTGTTCAGGATCACTGGGGACAGGTGAGCGCTACAACCTATTTAACTTCCAGTTCCTTCGTCATCATCATCGCCTGTTCCACTGTGTTCATTTGACCTTCGGAATAGTTGCTTATTCCTTGTCAGTCCGCCCTAAGCAACAACATGGGCTTTCACCCGGACGCATATGGGTGTCCCACAGCGAAGAGAAGGTTTAGCGATGCGGGTCAAGATCGGTCTCAGACGGGTGTCCATCCTGACTGGAATCTATCGTTGAAGCAGCCTGTTGGTCAACAGTCTTCTTGGGCATCACGGCGCCAGAGCCAAAATGGAGTGATGATTCAAGGTGGGAGCACTGCAACAAAGGCAGAACCAAACGATAAACGCGTGTCTTCGAGCGTGCGGACAAACGGAGTAGAGCATCACCTGACAAACTTCGAAGTATGTGAAGCAGTTCCAACAGAGCCTATCTCAAACCCCACTCCTGGTCCAGCATCGTCACTGAGCATCCAAATCCTGGGGTTTGACAAGAAGGCCTATGGTGACCCAACAAGAAGGGTGTCGGGCCAGACAGCGAGTGCATCGAGAGGGTGCCGCCCAGAACTGCGCCTTAGTCCCCGAACCAAGCCAGAAAGTGCAGACTGGTCGGAAACTGAGGCGGATCCACACACAGCCTCTGTTAAACTCGAACCAGATCCTCAAGGTCTTCAAACTGCGAAACCTCTGCTCACACCTTATTTAACCTCCTTCCACACGCCCAGTAACAAACCCCAGACAAATCTTCAAGCTGGACATAACACGGTCGACGTGGAAATGCATAAGTACCAACAGCCGCGCAAGGTGGCGAGTCCGAGTCAAATGAGCTCAGCTAAGAAATCAGGGTCACCACCTCATCCCGAGACCTTTCAAACTCTCAGGCAAGGAAGCGAGACTCCGGAGCAACTGATTGCTCGCCTTCAAGAAACACAATGCCGTGAAGCATTCCGTCGGATAAGACAGAAGGAATACGCTGATGAGTCTGTCACTACAGGCCTCGCGATGCTACATCTTCTGCGAGAACCACTGCCGCCTGATCCAGATGAATTACACTCGGGGATGGGCAATATCCGAACAGGCGCCTCCCCTGACCTGGAGCTACATCTGCTGCAGGATCAATCTTCACGAGCCAGAGATGGTTCGGCTGACTCCAGCCCCTCGGCGTCAAAGCAAAAGAGAACGGCGGAGAGCTGGTCGGACGTGAATGAGTTGGAGCCGCCACAATGTAACAGTGCCGAAGACTCTGAAGAACCGGAAAGTGATAACGACTCGACGAGGCCCATGGCCGTTGGTTTCGGCAGACTTATTCGCAGTCACGAGCCTCCAGTGCCCGAAGAGGAACTTGCAGGATGGGACGGTAAATTTCTACCACCCCCACTGGACTGGGAGCGACGTGGCAGGTTCTACAACAATACCCTAGAATACATCAGCGGCTTCGAAAGTTGGCTCGGTGCAGCTACAATGCGGACCATGTCGCGGGGGCCTGAAGTCGACTTCTTGGCCCTACCTCTTGAAGAAGTCCAGAACATCGACAATCACGCCGACGGCATTGGGTTTGTGCCAAAGCAGACGATGGTTAACGAAAGTAATGCTGGCCGCTATGGCTTTAACAGTGACAGCTTCAAAAGTGGCGAGGTGATGAAGCCTGAGTCATGGTCCCCACCTGACTTCAATGGCAACCCAAAACTCGATCTGTCGGATACTGAAAATGTTCGTCTTAAGGATGAAACGGCGCAGAAGCTTATTGATAACCGCATTGAGCGCCTGCGACGCGCGGAGAGGCAAGTGCAAGAAAATGTGATGTTACGAGTACAGGTCGAGCACGAGAACAGTGCGGTGGCTGAAGAAGTCAATCCAAAAGAACAGCCGCCTCCCCTTATAACAACTAAGAACATCTACCTTCGCCCTGCCGTTAGTGCAGACGTCCCGGGTATGAGAGCTATTCTCAACTGGCACATTGCGCAAGGCACTCGTCCCTCGGAACTGACAGAGATAAGCGAAGAAAACATGAACCAGCGGTTAGAGGATTCGACGTCAAACCGTTTGCCAGTCATCGTTGCCGTCGAACGCAACCGTAAAACCTCCCGGCCAAAATCACGTAGGGCCTCGAGAGTCAATTCCAATCATCCTATTCAAAACACTGATCCTGAATATATTGGCGTGGTGAAAGACGAGCCCGTTGTTGGCTGGGCCTCTGCCACAGACTGGTCAGCGTCGGATTACATTGAAGCCATTACGGCCGAACTGGAGGTGTATGTGGCGCCCTCACACCGCAAATCAGGTGTGGGACGATGCTTACTGGACGCTTTACTGGATGCTACAGATCGTGGGTACCTGAAGAAAGGGGGCTATGAATTCCGAGTTGCGCCGGAGTTGAGGCATATGTACAGCGCTGGCGGAGGACGCAATCTGCACAAGTTGATGGTTCAAGTACGCAGCTTCAACAACCCGATGCCTCCGGAGCTGCTTGACCGCCTTCGAGAAGCAGCCATTCAGGGTCAGCCTGATCCTCCTGCCAGTAGGAATGGCTGGGGTCGTCGCAATGGAGAGGATTCTAGAAATCGCAAGAATCGCATACCTGAGAATTTGTCCTCCGAAAATGCTCGCAAAAAGCGAAAGGATTACTCCAAAGCGGCGAGGCTGGATGACCGCGAAGACGATTACGAAATCTGGCTGAAAGAGTGGCTCGAGAGTCAAGGATTTGAGGAGGAAGCGCACCTGAAGAAGATAGGGACTAAGAAAGGGAGGTTTGTGGATGTGAGATACTTGAGCCGTGAGACTTGCTGGCAGCCTGTGGATCATCGGATTCCGGACTTTTCACACGGTATTTGACGAACTTGACACAGTGTGCAGCATATGGGAGGTGTCGAGGAGAGGCGGAGAAAAATGGCAATCACCAACAACCATGAGACGACATCACAAGGGCTTGCTTCTTCCAACAAATCCGTTGCCCATATTTTTATTGCATTTTGGCAACTTTCCAGCAATCGGCGATACCCCCCGCCTTTCATTTGATACAGCCGACCTCCTAGCGTTCCGCTTGCAGCAATACGACGGCACTATCATCACTTCTTAGACCATAAAGGACTCTCTCCCATCTTCTTTCAAGCGACAAGAGAAATCTATGACTCGGCATTAACGCCAACAGCTACGGCTGAAGGGAAGCAGGATAATACCAATTCGAGCTGCACAAGACTCCATGGCTGGCACATATCCAAAGGGGATCCCTAGCGGCGAGCTCGACAGGGATTATTTCTTTCTTCTCGTCTCTCAACGATTTTCGTCCTTGTTTTTCTTCTTGTGGAATGGTTGCACTAGGTATTAGAAGGTGGACATGCAACGAAATCAAGATAAATAACGAAATCAACGACAAAAAACCTAACGGAGGAAGATGATATCTTTGAGGCGTGGGAAAGGGAGATATTAAGTCTGCCAACTTCCGTCGAACAGAGCTCTGCCTGCTTCTAGAGCTCATCCCAGCAGCAACGACGGAGATGGTGCTTGCAAGAGGGTTTGACGGATTCATAGCACAAAAGAGGGCACATCGCTTAACTTCCATAGAAATATCGACATAGATATGATTAGAGTGTGCAGCGCAAACAGAATTGCCTGAGGTCAGTGTACGAAAGGTTGCGCCGTAGACTGTAAAACGGGAAGGCAGAAAAGCATAGAACAACACAATAGGCATGCATGGCTGGAAGACGCTTCAAGGGCCTTTCTTGACCCTTCTGCACACCTTCTACTGTTCTCCGTTCAATCAGGTTTCTGATCAAGCCATCGAAAGAAGGGTGCAACAACATCCGAGCTCATTCCAAACTGCTTTGGGGAAGGTCCGCAAGCCACCGATGCATGAACAAGCGCCATTGGATCTGCCAAGCACAAGAAGACCGATGGGGGCCGGGCGATTGCGGCATACGGCTCCGTATTCTTTTCATGGTTCCGCAGAGGACACAGAAGAGCGACAGAGAACACGCTTTGGCCAGAGAAGGGATGCTGGGGTGCGTCTTTCTCAGTCCCATGGGCAGGTCGGGAATCGTGGTGAGGGCGGTTGCCAGTCAGTGATCTCGTATCCGATATCTCAGTGTCCTGTATCTGTGACCTGAAGCTTGGGCCACCTCGAAGGACGATTAGTGCAGCGACCATTTTTTCCTGGTGACCCCACCGAAACCGATGACAGCCAAGTTTCTTGCATCAGCGGGCCAATAGCTCGGTCGGCTGAGATTTCCGAATGGTTGTCGGGTCTTGGGAGAAAGTGAGACCGTGATCGAGGCTACGCCTTGACTTTGCGCCTGACTGTGCCTGACAGTCATCAATATGCATCAGCATCAACTTTTGGACCTCCGCGATCAATTCCGGCACCCAAATAGGTTCCCTGACCTGTACTCGAAATCGGTGGGGATTTATTTGGTGTAACCAAGGGATCACCAAGAGGAGGACGGAGTTCGAGATAGGCGAGACCGGCGGCTGGACGATCGGTCAACTGGATTGTTCGGGTATGCAGGTCATCGCAGCAAATAGGCGTATGATTGGCTTGCACAATCCCTCCTTGATGCGCATGATGGCCTTGGGCATCAACAAACACGTTTTGGGATGACTTCGACGTTGCACAAAACCTCGCAATGACAGCTGTCAGCGAACAAATGTAAGTAACCGAACAAAGAGACAATCAGGAGATCTCGAGGCTCGCATCGACGTGAAGTGTGCCCTGCTACAACGTCCTCTTTTGTCAAGGGCAAGCAAGGGTAGATGCTATCCTGGGCAAGCATTGAGTTCCAGACAGGAGACAAAATGAGAACAATAGACTTTGGGACAAGAAGTCCCAAGCCTACCGGAGTTGCGAATCGGCAGGCAACATGCATGTTGACCCCTCGAAAACTGACTGTTTGGCCATTGTGTTGCTGCAGGATCCTTCAATGGTGCGAGATCCGGGCTCGTTGCCAGCAAACGGACAAATAGCTGTTGAGCGCAAGGTCCTTTTTGACAAGGTTTCAAGCTGGTGGCGTAATCCGTGGTGTGCATGGCTAGCATTGTGTCTTCAGTAACTAGTAGGTGGTCTGGGGCTGGGAGACTTTGGAGCTGAATGTGGACATGGTGAAGGAGGGGGAGAGGGTTGTTGTGACCTCTCGAGGGCTAGGGGACGAACAGGGAATGTAGATCCTTCGATAGATCAACAGCAGCGTGGGATATGGTTCAGACAAGGGCGATCGTTGACCATGGAGATACAGGACAAGAAAAGGCTCCGTCAGGAAAGAGTTAGTCGTGGTAGAAGAGCCGTGATGGAGAACAGACTCTTGTCTGTGCTCAGGCTCTCATGTCTTGATGGTGGGTGCAGGGAAGGGAGGGTGGAAAGAGTTTTCATGGGCTTCCCGTGTCATCATCTGTTCGCCTAAATATGCCCCCTCCCCCCAAGCTTTCAGGCTCACTAGGCTGCCGTTCCCCCTTCTGGCACGCCTCTAAGCCTCTAAGCCTCTAAGCTCAAACCTTAGTTAGCTGGGACTTAGCTAGATCCCTAGTTGTAAGTCGTTGATAGCATTCAGTGGCCCTCGGTGGCCCTGAGTGACCCCTCGCACGCCCTCGCACGCCCTCGCACCCACCCACACCTACCGAGACACCCTGGACACCCACATTCGCAGGCCCTGGTAGCCTTAGACAAGCTCAACCCCCCGACCCTGCCCTGCCCTGCCCAAGTGGTAACCCGGTTCTCTGCCTTCTCTCGTTGAGTTTTAGTCGTGCTTCCCGCACTTTTCCTTGGACTTCCCACTTGTCTTTCTTCTTTGCCTCACCCCTCCATCTTCTCGACCTCTCTTGTTCCCGCGCGCGTCTCTCTTAATATCGCAGTCTTGCTTCTGCTTTCCTGCTTCCATTGGCGCCTGCTCTTCTCGGAGTTCCTCACGTTTGCGTCTGGTCTGATCTGTGGCTTGCACTGACATTTTTGGCCCCATCTAACCACTGCGCATTTGATCCGGTATGTGCAGAAGTCCTTGATCAACCTCCTCCTTTTCCCGCGAACCTGCCTCAACCCGTGCGCAAATGCAAGAGATGGACATTGGACATGACTGCGCATGAGAATATGCATCCTCTCAGGTCGGCTTGGTAGATGGAAGCCGCGTACCCAAGGGTGCCACCAATACAGAGGACGACAGAAGAGCGCCATCACCACCCAAACATCAAACTAAATCACACTAGCCACGAGAGCTACAATCACAAACCCATCAAAAATCTCTGCATTGTCAACTGCTCTTCACAACTTGGTGCTTGCGTGGACTTCTCTGCTTCACTCTGCTCGTGATGATTACCTTTGTTTGTCAATGAGATCGCATGCGCTAACTTCGTCTATCTCCTAGACTTCAGAACAACCTTCGATTCCCAAAGACTCTTTGCGATCGCTTTGTACCCTGTTGCCTTGGACATTCGCCGTTCGGGATATTCTTGTGCGACAAAAGTTGGTTGAGTTGTCAAAAAAAGTCCACATAATTCCTTCGATATCCTTTTCGCGACGACTTCTTTAGCAAGAGACTTCTGTCCCATCGATCTTGGTATGTCCATCTCACATCTCCAAATCCCCTGGTGCCTGCGACGACTGTCACGGACAATTGGGATGAAAATTCTGCAGGAGGTTGGTCATCAAGACTGATCTCGGAATCTGACTCATCTCAACAGAAAGTGTACTTTAGCCTTCAAGTTCGTCATCTCGATTTTTGTCCTTCAACATGTCTTTTCCTGAATACGGTCAATTCCAAACCCCTCCGCAGGAGGGTGCTCCGGGTCAAGTGCCTACTCCTCAAGATGGAGCTGCTCCGGGCCAGCCAACCGACCCTTCTGCTCAGCAACAGCTGCCATTCCCAACTCCGGATGTGAATGCCGCAGCACAAACTGGTGCGGGCGCTGAGGGAAAGACCACTCTTTGGTGAGTTCAAACGCGAGTGCCACTTAATTTTGGGCCATGTCACTGACGCCTAGGTAGGATGGGTGAGCTGGAGCCATGGATTGACGAGAACTTTGTCCGTAATCTCTGGTTTCAAATGGGTGAGCAAGTCAGCGTCAAGATGATCCGCGACAAGTTTTCAGGGTAAGTTCCGGCAAAGCCATCCCCCTCCCTCGCACGTCTCTGAACTCATGGTAGCAGCAACGCTGGCTATTGCTTCGTCGACTTCTCCTCGCCTCAGGCTGCGGCCAAGGCTCTCCAGCTTAGTGGTCAACCTATGCCCAACTCTAGCCGCCCCTTCAAGCTCAACTGGGCCTCTGGAGGCGGTTTGACTGATCGACGCGACGACCGCGGTCCCGAGTACTCGATTTTTGTTGGCGATCTCGGCCCCGAGGTCAACGAGTACGTTTTGGTGTCGCTCTTTCAGAGCCGTTTCCCATCCTGCAAATCGGCCAAGATCATGACCGATCCTCTTTCCGGCATGTCCCGCGGATATGGTTTCGTTCGCTTCTCGGATGAAGGTGACCAGCAGCGCGCGCTCAGTGAGATGCAGGGCGTCTACTGTGGCAACCGTCCCATGCGCATCTCTACGGCAACTCCCAAGAACAAAGGCGGACCGATGACAGGCATGCAGATGGGAATTCCTGGTGGGACCCCAATGGGCTACCCGCCTATGGGTGGTCAGCAACCTATGCCGTTCTACGGTGGTGGCCAGCAACAGCCACAACCGATGAACCAATTCACTGATCCCAATAACACCACGGTGTTTGTCGGAGGTCTCTCTGGATACGTCACCGAGGACGAGCTGCGCTCGTTCTTCCAGGGATTTGGGGAGATCACCTATGTCAAGATTCCGCCGGGCAAGGGTTGCGGTTTTGTGCAGTTCGTCCAGCGCCATGCCGCCGAGATGGCCATCAACCAAATGCAAGGCTATCCCATTGGCAATTCGCGAGTTCGTCTGAGCTGGGGACGTAGCCAGAACAACTCGGGTCCAGCGGGCACACCCTACCGCCCTGCGCCCCCGCCACCCATCTACCCTTCCATGGGCATGCCTCCTACTCACTCATACGGCAATTTCGCGCCTATGAAGGTTGGTCACAGTCCTGTCCCCACTCTTCCAATGGGACAATACTGACCTCGGGGTAGTGAAAACCCTTTTGACAAACTCGGCGCAGCAGGCGTTTCGTCCATGGGCATGCTTTTTCCTGTTGGGGAGCGGAAAAAGCAACGTTTTCATTTGTCAAGTCATTGAAAGCAGCGCGCAAAATCGAAATCTTAGCGTCATCATCGTTGGTATGGGAGGGTGTTTGTCCAAGAACAACAGAAAAGTTTCTTTCATTTCACATTTGCGATGACCCCTGACCACCCGACTGTCCTCGACAACGGCAGCCGGCTGTGTACAACACGATCGAACACACATGGCATTCGCTTTTTGGTTGAGAGTGACGATACGATACCAACGAAAACGAGACATTAGCATGTGCTTGGGAAGCACTCACGGCAAGGGAGCGGAAGCATGGACGGATCGTTGCAAAAATGGCACCCGGGGTGGTGATGAAACTCAGTTGACAAGAAATGGTTTTCTTTTTACTCTTTTTTCACTCTATTTCTCTCCTTTTTCAGTCTCTCGCATGGGACCAAGAGGTCTCCATGAACTCCCTCAGCTCACAGGGCAAAGATTGGGGACGAACTAAGCAACGACGGGCATTGGATGAGCTGAGCTGGGACGAGGGAATCATGTGTTGGTTCATGGCGAGTGGACCAATACGAGACGATCGTTGACACTGAATTTCCAAGTTCCTTGCACGATGCTTCTCCTCTGGTGACTGCTGTCCTTCACGCCGGGTCTGTTCTTCCCTTCTTCGTGCTGCCCTCCATTGGCCTTCCTCGCTTGTCTTGCGCGAAACCTGTGAAAAGCTGGCTTTTATTCCCAGTATTGCCAAATATGACCACCTCGCCCAGCCTCGCTTTCTCCTCCCAGTCCAGCGCAGGCGGATTTGTGCTCTGCAGCCTCGGCGCCAAGCATTCGAGACCTCGGGATTTTGGCGGCTTCTCCAACTCGAGGTCGGCCAAACATCCATCGTTCAGTCCTTCAGCGCAAGCACGAGCCGACGTACATCTCCACCGGAACGAGATGTAAGTGTTATGTTGTCGAAGCCAAATGAGCTCCAATTGTTCGTGACCCTCCTCGGGCATCTGGTTGCTCTTTGAAAAGAGAACGTCTCGCACTGACCAAGGTACATAGACATTCTTCCCCGCACTGCGAAAGTCACGGTTAAAGCCTTCCTGCTCCGACAACCCAAAGCCCTACAACTTTTGCCAATCTTTTGAAGAAGGCTACGAACGCCATATCGTCCTCGCAATATGGCCTCCAGACCAATTCGTATAGCAGGCAAGCCATCTCTTCTCCCCCTTCCTCGGCTATCCTCCCCCTCAATCGCGACCCTCTAACATTCTCTGTCCCGTGAAGGCGCGTCCGGCTCCGCCTCCGACCGCCGCCATGCCATGGCTGCATTTGCGAAGTCTTACACCTCCGACCCTGTGGACGTCATCATATCAGACTACATGTCCGAGGTGAACATGACGATCGGGGCTGCCAGAAAGGTCGACTCGACGCAGTTGACTCCGGATATGGGCAATGCCTTTGTTGGCGCGGGTCCGGCCTTTGAAGCCTCATTCCTCGAGGCCTTGGAACCGGCGTTGGAAGACCTGGGAAGGTACGGGATCAAAGTAGCTGCAAACGCCGGAAATGCGGACGTACAAGGCCTGTATAAAATTGTGGTCGAGATGGTGAGGAAGAAAGGGCTGCAAGACAAGATCAAAGTCGCGTGGATCTCCGGCGACGAGGTCTTGCCAGCAATTAACGAAGGGTTGAAGAACGGGAGTTCCAAGTTCAAGAACATCTATACAGGCCAGGTGCTGGAGAGGTGGGAATTTGAACCCATCTACGCGCATGCCTATCTGGGCGGCATGGGCATTGCAGAGGCATTTCGCCAGGGAGCCCAGATTGTGATTTGCGGCAGAGTCGCTGATGCGTCGCCCGTCATCGGGGCAGCGACGTGGTTTCACGAGTGGAAGAGGGAGGACTGGGATCGATTGGCCAATGCCTTTGTCGCCGGCCATTTGATCGAGTGCTCGACCTATGTCACGGGTGGGAACTTCTCTGGGTTCAAGAGCCTTGAGGCTGCAGATAGGTGGGTTGATATCGGATACCCGATCGCTGAGATCTCGCAGGATGGGCAAGTGGTCATCACAAAACAGAAGAACTCGGGCGGAACAGTGACGGTTCACACATGCTCATCGCAGCTGCTGTACGAGATTCAAGGACCCTGGTATTTCAACAGCGACGTCACCGCCGTCCTGGATCAACTCTGGTTCGAACAGCTCGGCCCTGACCGCGTTGCACTGCGCGGCGTCCAAGCCCTCCCGCCACCTCCGACGACAAAAGTCGGAATTACCGCTCGCGGCGGGTTCCAAGCTGAAGCCTGGTACTTCATGACTGGGTTGGACGTCGCCGAAAAGGCCCGCATGACTGAAGCACAACTTCGCCATAGCCTCAAGCGGTACTCGGACAAACTTACCACGCTGTCGTTCAGCGTCCTAGGAACGCCGGGCGTGGACGCGGACAACCAAAACGCCGCGACTTGCATATTCCGCATATTTGCGCAAGCGAAGGAATTGAAGGACATTGCCTCGGGAAAGTTTCTTAGACCAGTGATTGACAACATAATGCAAGGCTACCCAGGTTCCACTTTCCATCTGGATTTCCGTCTGGGGATCCCGAAGCCATATTTTGAATATTATGTCACATTGCTGGATCAAGCGAAGGTGTCACATGTGGTACATTTCAACGGCCGAGAAACACTGATCCCGCCGCCTACGATCACGAATGTCTTCGCGGAGAGGCAGCCAAGTCAGCCAAGCACGCAGCTGCAGGTCGACCTCTCGAAATTCGGTCCGACAGAACGGGCTCCCCTGGGATCCATTGTCAACGCCCGCTCCGGCGACAAGGGCTCGGACTGTAACTGCGGCTTCTGGGTCGCGCGGGAGGACGAGTACGTGTGGCTGAAGAACTTGCTCTCCGTCTCGACCATCAAGCTGCTCTTGGGAAGGGAGTACGACGAGTCGAGGGTGCCTAAGCTCGAGATCGAGCGGTTTGAGTTGCCGAATCTGAGGGGCGTGCACTTCTTGTTCAGAAACCTCCTGGATCGCGGCGCCACCAGCACGAGCACCGTAGATTTCCTGGGCAAGAACTGCGCCGAGTTCTTGAGGGCCCGGTACGTCGATGTGCCCGTGAGGTTTTTGGCGAGAGGCAGGTTGTGAACACTGTCAAGGCTCTGACATAGATTCGACTCGGGGGGGTTCAGTTATAACATACTGGTCGGGTGAATATGGACCGCCGATTTTGGAATGTTTCACAAAAAAGATAGACTCGAATTTCTGAAATTTTGCGATCAGTTCATCTCGTTCCCGAGTCTGCCTCCATGCCTATCACTCTCTTTCCGCTACTACACCTTTCCTTTGCCGCTGCAGGTTCCTAGTGAGATGAGCCCGCCTTCCCCCAGCCGAACATGGCGTGCTTTTGATGTACTACCAGGTCCCAAGGCCTGAATAGCTCGTTGGGCTGGTCCATGATGCCGTCGTACCTGGCCTTTTGCCAGTACCGAGACTTGAGCTCTTTTTAAAGTGAGGGATATTAGTCGCAAACCTTATAGCCCGAGCGGTCGACAGGGTCTTTTCATGCGACTCTTGCTCTTGTGCCGCGGCATGGAAGAGCTTTCTATTTCCCCTTCTTTGACGACTTCCGGCGGCAGATGTATTGATGCTCGAGGACAGGGCAATCGCTTGATCTTCGCCGCTTTCCACGTGCAAGAAGCCCACACACAATGCGGTTCCCCCTTCGGGGTCGCATCGCGCGAGAGAGGAATAAAAAACTCACACCTTCTTCCTTGCATCCTTCTTCCTGCTTCCTGACCGATTCTTCCCTCCTCCATGCTGCTGCTGCTGCTGCTGTTGTCCTACCTGCGGCGGAACAACCTGATAAATCTTCCCATCTTTCCCCACGATCCCCACACTCTTATTCGCCTTTCCTGCTCCTCCTCCTGCTCCCGCCGCAACCCCGCTCCCTTCCTGCTGCTGCCGTCGAAGAAACTCCAACCTCGCCCTTGCCTCCTCCTCCCTCCGAACCGGCGTCCCCGTCATCTTGCGGAACAGCGACTCTAGGTGCGGGCGGAAGAGAGCGTACGTCGAGATGGCGACGATGACGCGCAGGAGGGCTTGCAGGTTAGTGCGGGTCAAGTACGCCTGCACCGCCGGCGGGAGGTTCTCACGGTATGGTTCGAGGAGCGTGGGGATGTCTGGGATGGTGAAATTGAAGCTGGGCATTTTTGTGGCGTATATGTTCTATTTATCCCCTTGGGCTGTCGAGGGTGGAGGTCCGGCTATGTATGCGTATGTGTCGTACTGAGGAGGGGAAAGAGTTTCAGGTTCGAGGAACGCGATTTCACAAATTTAAGCGGTTTGGGCGTGCAGTAGAGGAGGCGGAGGGACAGTACTCAAAGAAAACTCGAGGATAATGTCTGCCCGCGAGATCAATGCTTGGCCGTACCAACAGCAGACGAACATACGTCGAAACACTTGGTCATCAAGGGTCATTCCCAACAGGGTACGGACATCTGTCAATACAATGAATTGGAGCAAATTGATGTTCCTTCTTTCTAAATTCTAGTTCTCTCCATTCAGTCAAATCTACGAGGAAGGCATCTGCGAAAGCATCAACAATTGAGTGAGAGAATAATACACAAACACGAATGAATATGACTCCAGCTCGAGGTGCTAATAAGAGAGTGTTTCTCCTAACACACCCGAGAACCGCTTCAAATCTCGTCATCCGAATCCTGAACTTAGAGAATCAGCCAGGCGTCTGTGGTCTGGGTGGGAACACAGAAAGCTCCGACAACAATGGGTACTTTTTCCTGCCGACCATGCCACGCCGACTGGAACTCGCCGATCGACGCTCTGAAGATTTGGCCGAAGAAGAACACGCAGATATGAAGCGTTGTCTTGAAGCTTGTACAGCCGAGGTAGTCCGGCACGTGGAATCCGCAGAGGCCGAAGGTAAGAGTATTTGTGTGAAAGAACACCTCATGAGGATGCTATCGCCTACAGCAAAGGCTTTGGTCAAAGGGAGGGTAACGACAGAGGGCCGTAATGCGAACATTCCACAGCAGGAAACAGGGGAAGGTCAGAACAAGAGTCTCACAAAGGAGAGGGAGGCACAGAACCAGACAGTCCTCCCTGATGTTTTCCTGCGTACATGGACCCCGACATTTTTGATTTGGCATCCTGCGTTGGTGTTTCCGTCACTTTATCGAACATCTGTAGACCTTGAAGGCCCCGAACAAGCCAGGAAGAACGCAGATGGGAGCTTTCGAATGGAAATGACCTGGAGATAGAGCCGAAATTTGTAGGAGTAGTTTAACAAGCAACGCCTTGACCAATCAATAGTTTCTAGGAAGGTTCGAAGCCGCTCTGGGAATGATGGGCAGTCCACCTTGTCGTGGCCAATCATCCTAGACGCCGACGACGTTATTCTTCACCCGAGCGTCATCAGACGATATTGCGGGATTGTCGGGTTGGACCCAGACAAATGCCAATTCAAATGGGAGTCTGCCACTGCTGAAGAGCAGCAAAGATTAAATGCCTTCGAAAGAAGGATGAAGTCGAGCCTGTTGTCCTCGACTGGCTTGATCAAAGAAGGGAAAACCGCGATCGGGTTAGACATCGAGCACGAAGCACAGAAGTGGAAAGCCGAATTTGGAGAAGAGGAAGCCAAAAAGCTTCTATCGCGGGTCAAAGATGCCATGCCGGATTATGAGTTGTTGAGAGAGAGGCGACTGTCAGAGGGAGATGGATGAATCAATGAAGTCGAGGTCTCTCTCTATATATGTACAAGATATGTAGTACGTTTGGTGTTGTTGTGGCCTGCCGTTGTGTAATTTCTAGCTCTATGCTCAGACGTATACATCACCGACGCGTCACGCGTGATGCCGTATAAAGTTCACGCTTTTCCATTACCATTACACGAATTGATACGTCAAGAGTGCATGCTCGAAGTGTCGGAGTACCTTTTTCGAAACCGCTTCGAAAAACCTTAGGCTTGCCTATTATAACTTGGTCATTGGTCTACTCATCATGGCCTCTGCGTCAGATGCAGAGGCTGAGTCCCTGCAGAAGGTGAGACCCACGAGTCCCCATGGCGTTGAAAGGCAGCGAGGATTCCGTGTGAATTGATGCCGTAATGCTAACACCTTACTTTCTCCTTAGAAACTCCGATCTGCCCTATGGTTCCAGATTGGGAAGATGGTCGACGAAGAGAGTATCAACCTGGGAGTCAATGCGACGCCACAGTTCATCGGCAGTCTGATGGAACTGGTATGGGCACAGATTGGTACGTCAGGATTGATACGTCCGGCTGTATGGCGGAGATGAAGGTTTGAAGCTGACACCGAACGCCTTTCAGGAAATGCCGCGATTGACCTCGAAGCATTTGCAAAGCACGCGGGAAGATCCACGATCAAAACAGATGATGTCATGCTACTTGCTCGGCGAAACGAAGGGTTAGAGCAGATCCTCCACGATGAATTGAAGCGACTCGAGCAAGCAAAGACCAGAAACGATAAGACCAAATGAAGGAGCCAATATGGACTGTCCGGAACATATGAGAAGATGCTGGCGCCTTCGAGACAAAAGTCCCAAGTCTCAGCAAGCATTGCTCGAAGACACAGGGAGCACAGTTCACCAATATGATCAAGCTTTCGATGAAAATGTCAAAGAACGCTGTTTCCTGGCGGCCGACTCCTGGAGACCAACTGACCGGCGATTCAGTTTGTTCAGCACTTCTCTAATTGGCATTCTTCCTCCATCCCAGTTTTGGAGGCTATCAGAACCCTCTCTCTGGGGATCAGCCTGGTCATTCAATCTATTTTGCGTCAAATTTGACATGCTTGAATATACCTTGACCAATGGAAGTCTTTTCAAAAATGTAACCCCAGCCCAGAATGCCAAATACAGTCTCAGGCCCGGAGTAGGACAAGACTTGCTCACGGATATAAGAATCACCTCCACGAACTTCTATTTGGATAATCAGGCGACTCGCGGCAGGAAGGGGCAAGTCATACCATTCTGAACCCGAAGGAGAGTGCGATGCTGTAGTGCCGACCCGCACAAACGAAGATTCACCCTGTGGCCATTGCGCGAAAACAAAGCAGCAGAGATATTGTCGCGTCCACATTGTTCAGAGACCGGACATTATGCCACGAGGTGCCAACGCTTGTTTGGAATTATGGAGTCGGCGGCCACCTCAATCGTGGAAATCGTCGAAAGACTTCTCAGATGTGATATGGGCCATTCCCGATCGCGAAAAGACCAACTGCTTTTGGCTCATCGTTTAAGGGGGCATTACCGACGTCTGATGTTTCTACCAGGTCAAACAACGCCCCAGGACTGCCTGTCTCTTAACCAGGCGAACCGTCCAATGACGCAGCTTCACTGCCGTGGAGATATTGAAGATTAGTATGCGTACGCTCTGCGACGTGTCAGCCAGCGCCTCGAAATGAAACGTCAAGAAGTGAGATGCAATAAGTCTCACTATGCTCACAAGGGAGGATCACGCGCCATCCCCAATCCTTATCCCTCGATCGCTCGGCTACGGGTCAACCCCCACCGGCCCGAAATGACGCCATGTGGTTGGCCTTACCCAATTCCACAAACATGAGTTCGGACTACGCGACGCAGCCTTATTTTAGAATTCCGATATGTCATCGCATGAAGTTTCATGTGCGGAATGCAGCCTCGCAATGAGAAGCTGTTCTCCCTGATCATCAATCGTTGTGCATACTAGGAGTGAAACGCCCCTGAGAAAACCGACACGGCACGCTGATAACATTAATTTTTGTTCTAGAACGCTTCCAATCCTATGTGACTTGTCTGGCATGACATCCCTCCACTCTTCAGCCAGGCATTCGAGATTGAACACGACATTGCCGCTGAGCTGCTCTACAGATACGCTCTTCCGCGGTCTCCCATCATGAGGACAAACTAGCTAAAAGTAGCAGATGGAGAAATCCACGATCAACTAGGCGCCGAAATTCGATAAGCCCTTACCCAACAGCCTTGGAGAACCATTCAGATCACTGTATGTGACTCCTGAATCTATGACTACGGTGGATACATCAACGGTCATTGATGGATCTGGTCACCCGGCAATCGCATTGCAGTCGCCGCCCAGCGCCCTGGAGCGGACTCCTCAGTGTGAGACGACAGCACATTCAATAGTTTTTATGATTCCAAACGCAAGCTGGATTTTGGGGAACACCTGTACCATTTCGTCTTATCACTCGAATGTTACTACACCCTGCCTTGGATCGGAATGTAGCTGTATTTGCTGTACGTCGCCGCACGTGTGCCCCTTGCCGATGTTCTGTTGCAGCATCTGGCAAACGGCATGATGGCCGCAGCAGATACAACATGAGGCTCTCTAGTGAAGCAGAAGCCATGTGGCTGGTTGGCCTGGGTTCAAGTCGCGCAATGCTCATTTCGCCCCAGGCTGGACTTTGATCCAGGTGAGCTTTTGTTTCTCTTTCTGCGGGGACGTCAAGTTGGTTGAAACATCAACCAGCCCGCCAAACATGCACAAGGGCAGGACATCAGACCTCTCAGCGAGTACTCTTGCGAGCGACGCTGTGGAGTGGTCGGTGGTCTTCTGATTGCTGAAGGATAACAGTTGAGGGTCACTCTGAGGTGAGAGGGAATCACTTGAAGGGGATGCTGTGTCGCATGGCGAATTCGAATTCGACTTGGATCTATTAGGGGAGTTCATTCAGATCGCTGGGTGGATTCGTCTGCCTGACTGATTGGTTCACAGTGCGGCCTGTGGTCCCGTTGCGGAGCAATGATTGTTGAGCGCCGTGATCTTATGTGGCCAACTGTTCTATTACTGGCAGCGGTGAGGCTGAGCGGGTCTCGCTGTGGAGATCTAACCCTAAGTGGTGGAAATTTGGAATGTGTCGATCGCAAATCCTGGAGCATTCAGATCGGAGTATGGTCTTGATCTTTTGGAAGTCAGGACCGGGAGCCATGGAAAATATACATATGAAAATTACCACGAATACAGGCAATTCCATGGCCGAAACATGGTGATGTATCGTGTGTATCAGGTGTATCGGGTGTATCAGAGGTGACCACGGACCGGACGCGGGTCTAGACTCGGTTGAACTACAGTGTGCAGCAAGCGAGCAGGCATATATCTCGGGTCGGCGACCATGTGTACGAGTAGGAAGGCGACGGCACTCTGGTGCAATCGAGCGCATATACAAGGCCATGCAAGGCGTGCAGGATATGGACCATACCGGGCAGATAGCTGTGCTTTGACCCCAACGAACATGGACATGTCACATTGGCCCGTAGATGGCAGCAGCAGTGGGGTGAGCTAGAATTGACGAGGACTGGAGTAGTTGAGTGGCGAAGGGAGGTGATTGTGATTCCAAGACGAACCGAGATATGGGATTTGACGAGGCTGCGATAGACGGCGAGGTCGAGATATGTGCCACGGATTACACGGTCTGTGTCCACGCCAAAGTTGCCCGGCGTATATTTGGCCCATTGATTGACTTCCCTCTCTCTGCGCTGTCACAGTGCTTGGCTCATCAACCATCCCACCCCATTCTCTGCGTGCGGCTGAGCCTCGTTGGACCGTGGCAGCACCGCCACCTAACCGTGTCGACTCTAGTCGCAGCCCTGCAGCTTATTAAAGTCGGCCACCATCTGCACCATGTGGGCGTCGTGGCCATTGAGCTCGTCGTAAGCTCGCGTAATGCCTCCAGATGAGGAACAGCGCGCCCACTATGGCGCCGATCATGTTCGTCTCAGCACATGGCCAAATGACGGACGCCGATGGCCAATGATGGGCAATTCCTCGGACCTCCACACCGGAAAGACATAACGCATGCCAAAACAAGGAAGCGAGCAGATAAGCATCGAGGCGGCGTTGAGGCGTTGAGGCGTCAAGGCGTCAAAGCCGTGTCCATGATGTTGTTGAGGTCTCCCTCATCCCGCACGGCACACGACTATGCGACTATGCGGCCGTAGGCGAATATCACTTACCGCGAAGTGAATTGGGGCCCCGGTGAAGGAATGCTACCCTCGTCTATAAACACAAACACAGGCGCAGCATCACCTCTTGGTGCTTATGCTGCAGTGATAATTATGGTTTGCTGCCATTATCACCAAGGCCGTGCACCGTACGCTACACCATCCGCCAGGCGAACATATTATATGCCACTCACCCTCTTCCAACATGAACGCCACAAGCAACAGTCCCCAAGATACTGCTACTCTTCCTGCCCCTTCCAACTACCAGCAAACCGAGCCCGAAGAGACTCCCTCTCCCACCGATACAACACCGTCCAGTATGAGGAAACAGGAGCGGAGCGATGCCGACCTTGAACAGAATACCACACTCCTCAACAATGCTGCAGCTCCGAAATGGAGGCCATCGACAACAGAAGCCATGGTCATGGTGACTTTGGCCATCATATCCTTGATGGTCAGCCTCGACGCCACTGTCATCGTGACCGCCTTGTCGGTACGTGCCTCTCAGTGCCCTCACAAAGACATTCCTAACATCAAACATAGACCATTGTCCAAGCGCTGAATGCCACTTCCACTCAAGGGTTCTGGATAGGAACCTCCTACCTCCTTGTCGTTGCAGTGACGATGCCATTCACGGCCTCCATCAGTGACATTGTTGGACGTCCACAGACCCTATTCACCGTCTTGTTGAGCTTCACTGTTGGCACCGTCCTTTGCGCTACCGCTCACAGCATTGGTATCATGCTTGTTGGCCGATGTCTGCAAGGCGTCGGTGGTGGCGGCGTCATTATCCTCTCCCTCGTCGTCTTTTCCGACATTGTCCCTCTGCGATTCCGACCACAATACGTTGGCGTTCTGTAAGTTTCCCTCCCCAACTTCCTCATTGTTCTGGGCAACCAAGAAAATCCCTCTGGCCTTGGATCTGTTCACTGACGTCAATTGACTCTCTAGTCAAGGAGCATGGGCTCTGGGAAGCGTCATTGGTCCCATCGTCGGCGGTGCCTTTGCCAGTCCTACCCGTTGGCGATGGGTCTTCTATCTGATGTTGCCCTTTTGCGGCGTTGGCTTGATCTTTGTGCCGCTCTTCGTGCGGCTCAGGCGCCCCCAGGCTACCCTGAGAGAGATGCTTGGCCGTGTCGATTGGATCGGCGGGGTCCTCTTCATCTCCTCCGCGACCAGCTTCCTCGTGGCCATCTCTTGGGGCGGGACCACCTACGCATGGAATCACTGGAGAACCCTGGTGCCCTTGCTGGTCGGCCTGGCCGGCCTGGTGGCTACGATGATTTGGGAGCGATACGGCGCCAAAGAGACGGCATTCTTGAGACATTCACTCTTCCACGTCTGGTCGTCACATGCCATCTACTTTGGTGCTTTCGCCCAAGGTCTCATTGTAAGTTTCTAGCTCCAACCACGCCATCGCCAGTGCCACGTTTGCTAACAGGTTGTTTTCCCTCTCGTTCAGCTTTATGCACAACTCTACTACATCCCCTTCTTCTTCGAGTCTGCCAAAGTGTACTCTCCAATCCGCACTGGTGTCTCGCTCTTGCCCGTGCTGCTCACCTTGGTCCCGGCCTCCGTCATCGTCGGCGCTGCCATCACGTGGACAGCCAAGTTCCGGTGGGCAATCACCACAGGCTGGATTCTCGCGACTTTGGGCACGGGCCTGAGCATCTCATGGAACCGCGGCACCAACACGGCCGCGTGGGCCGTTGAGATGATCATCCTAGGCTTCGGGCACGGCCTGAACCTCAACGCACTGAACACGGCGTCCCAGGCCGCGTGCAAGCCCGGCGACGAGGGCCGCGCGGTCGGCATGTACGCGTTCCTACGCAGCTTCGGCATGGCCATCGGCGTGGGCGTGGGCGGCTCCGTGTTCCAGAATGTGATGAAGGCCAAGCTGGCGAGTCTGGGTTTGCCCACCGACATTGCCTTGCACGCCGAGGCCTACCTGGAGGTGCTCAAGCAGATGGACCCCAGCGCGCCGCAGCGCCAGGCCGCCATCGACGCCTATGTCGCCGGCTTCCACGGCGTGTTTGGCTTCCTGACTGGCCTTGGGGGTCTGGCCCTCATCGTTGGCCTCTTCATCAAGCACTTCGAGATCAACAAGGAGCTCATTACCGAGCACAAGCTCGTCGACGAGTCGCGCATCAGCTGGCGCCGCGCCAGCCAGGACAGCCGCAGCGGGCTGTCGACCGCAGACCATTCCCGGATGCCCAGTCCCGAGCGAGGCCCGCCGGTCGTCGCCGAGCAGGTCTAATCGCTGGTATTCTTGCGTTTTCGTCACCACATCACCGAAGGGGTGGAGATCACCCATTCCTTTTTTGCCTCTGTACCAACACATAATCATCAATGCATCCACGCATCCATGTATTACGATTACGACTACCACGACGAGCACCACTATTATTAATATTGTTATTATTATCTCACCAACCACAGCTTTTCTGGACGTGCATACAGATATGCACAAGATCAACAACGATTAAATACCCGGAGGGCCCAGGACACGGACTTGTTTAGGAGCCTGCCCTTTTTTTTTTTCTTGATGCACGGTCGATTGGGCGGTTAGGTGGGTTTGGATATGTATCATCATCACGGCCCAAAAAGGAAATCAATAGAGCAAGTAAGAGAGCGAAAAAGAACAACAATAGAGTCGCGCGAACGACCCGACTGTGTCGTGTCATGTGTATTCCTCTTGGAACATGAAAGGGATAAAAAGTGGTAGTAGAGCGAATACAAAGAATAGAACCCAAAACATGCATCTCGAAGCGAGGGTCATGGGAAGTGGGAGGTAACTTTTTGTTTTTCTTTCCTCTCTCCTCTCGCAGAGTCTCTCGCAGAGTCTCGGGGCTCGATGTCCCCGTCTGACAAGGGCGAGAGGACAAGCAACAGCTACGCGATCGTATCTCGTCGGCCTGCGTAGCTCGACGTCTCGGAATTCCATCTCGATGAATCTCAGGAACCCTCCTCCTCTCCTTGCATCCCCCTTCTTCCCCGTGCACACCCGTGGTTTCTTTTCACTCACGAATTCTGATATAGTTTCATCCTCTTCTCCTCCCCGTTCTCTCCTCGCCTTCCTCGCCTTCCTCGCCTTCTTCTTCGTCTTCTTCGCTTCATCTTCGTCCTCCACTCTATGTCCCGCCTTCCTCCCTAGAAACCCATCCCGTCCATCAGATCCCCGATCCGACATCGACCAGGATCTTGACGTGGTTCTCCTTGTCTTCGATGAGCGTCTTGAAGCCTTCCTCGGCGACCTGGTCCAACTTGATCGTCTTAGTGATCATGCCTGCGGGTTTCATGGCACCGCTCGAGATGGCTTTGATCACGGCTTCAAAGTCGCCGAGAGCGTAGGTGGCTCTGCAATCCCATTCAGTCAGACAGTTCAGGTAAGGGACGATCGACGACAGCCCTGAAGAGACTGGGCCAATGGTGATCCACACACTCCAAAGAAAAAAAGAACCAGGGGGAAGGGGGCCTGAAACTTACACGCCCATATACCCCCTCTCTCTAAACACAATATCATTCATCTGAAGCGTCGCCCTCTTCTCCCACACGGCGATATTTACCAACGTCCCTCTCGCCTTGATCGCTTTAAATGCCGTGTCCACCGCAACCTGCACCCCAGCGGCGTCGAACCCGACATCGGCACCCTCGCCATTTGTCAAGCGCTCGACTTCTTCCACGACATCCACCTTGAGTGGATCAATCACATGGTGCGCCCCGAATTGCTTTGCAAATTCTCTCCTCCGGCCACTGACCTCGCTGACGATGATGTTTTTGCATCCCTTGCCGACCAGCGCCTGCACGACCGCAAGGCCGATGGGACCGCCTCCCAGCACGAGAACCGAGTCGCCCTCCTTGTAGGGGGATATGTCGACGGCATGCCAGCCCACTGCCAATGGCTCAATCAAGGCACCAACCTCCAACGGTATGTTGTCCGGCAATGGCTTGACGCAGCTCTCGGGCACGACCATATGTTCACACAACCCACCGCCCCAACCACTCAGACCCACGAATCCATTCTTGTCGCAGCAATTCACCAGCCCCCTTTTACAGGCACGACAGCTGCCGTCGTAGATGGTAGGTTGCACGCAGACGCGGTCGCCGGGCTTGACGTTCTTGACGCCTTCGCCCACCTCCTCCACCACGCCGCTGAATTCGTGGCCCAGCGTCAGAGGCAGGGTCTCGCCAGTGATGGGGTGTGGATGACCCTCTTGCGGGATCAGGTTCGCACCGCCGAGGTATTCGTGAAGGTCCGAGCCACAGATGCCGCAGAACTTGGGGGCGATCTTCACCTGCCCGGCCTTGACGGAGGGAACGGGGATCTGATCGAGACGGATGTCGCGTTGGCCGTAGAAACGGACTGCATTCATTTTCGACATGGTGAGAGGGTTCTGGGACGCAACAAAGAACGAGCCTGGTGGCAGATATCTTTTGCTTCGAGTGGGAAGGATGTCCCGAGACGGTGAGATTGGCTCTAATATAGGAGAGGGGAAGTAAGAATGAGACGCAAAGCAGCACAGTATGCAGAATCAACAGAACAACGGCTCTCCAACAATCGTCATCCCGTCAAAGCGGGCAGTCCGCTCTGCTTTTGACCGAATTGATGGGGTCCGCGACAGCGTACAGATACCCACCCAAGGGAGACAAAACAACAGACCCATGGCCTGCCTTCATTTGCCCCCCGCCCTCCCGCTCAAGGGTGGCCTGTGGAAGCCCGTTCATCTAATTTGTCTCCCAATGCGCCGTCCCACTGCCTCATCTTCTTGCCTCCCATGGATTGCTTCATTAGGAAATCCCGAAATGAGGGGCAAAAGATGGAGGAGTTCGAGGAGTCCGGATCGTCCGAGTCTGGGGAAAGCTTTCAACGACAAAGACCCAGACTTGCAAGGGCAGGTTGACCGAGTATCACCATGATGTCAACACCGTATTCGCTTTGGTAAGGATATGCCCTTTCTCGGTGTCTGCTTCCTCCGTGGAGCGCTCGAGCGCGAGCGGTTTGCGCGTTGGGACCGCAGAACCCCAAGGACTTTCATTGGCTGCCTGGAAAGAAATCTCCTGCATATACATATATATATCCTGGAATCTTTCTGCCTGGGCCTAGTCCCAATACTAATGACGGCCTTTGTACTTGAAAGGTAGGAGAATATTATGTTAAAGGCACGGCGTTGCCTCCTGACACAAGGTAAATAGGCCATCCTTGAAGTTGCGAAGAAAGTATAGCCCGCTGAAGAACAACAGCAATAAACATCTCTTCATTCTCGTGTCGCGTGGCCGATGGACCTGCCCAGGTCACCATCCACAGAATCCTCGTCAAAGTTCCTATACGGCAAAACAGTCCTCGTGTCCGGTGGCGGAATAGCTGGACTGACGTTCGCTGTCGCTATCGCCCAACTGTTCGCAGATGAAGCTTCCACCACTGCAAGACCCAAAGTCATCATATACGAGCGAGATAGCTATGAGAACCGCATTGGCCGTGAAGGATACACACTTTCCTTGAGAACAGACAACAATCCCGGTGCTATTCAGGTTTTGGATCTCCTGGACTTGTACGAGCTCGTCAGGAGCGTGAGCGTTCACTCTGGAGGCCTCACAGAAGAAAGGGGCTCTTTTAACATCTGGGATCCACAATTTCGCCCCTTTCTGCGCTTCGCGGCACCGCCAGTTGGACCAAAAATGCTGCGTGGCATGAGAATTCGCCGGAATGCACTGCAGAAAGTTCTCGCCGACGCCGCTGTGAGATCAGGGGCTCAAATTCTCTGGGAAACAGCCGTAACGGGGGCGGAGTCGACCGACGACGGCCGAATGCGAGTTTCCCTCAGCACTGGCTTGACTGCGGTGGGTGACATCCTAATAGCCGCTGATGGGTCCCGAAGCAAACTGCGCTCGCTGCTGAGGCCAAACGATAGTCTCAACTATGCTGGCGTTTATATCTGGTCAGGGATCGCCAAATTTGCCAGTCGAGACGACATCCCCAAGCCGGTGGATCGTGACTGGGGTGGTGTATTGGGAGCAGATGGTGTCGGGCTATTTGTCGCCCCCGTAGACGACACATCAGCGCTCTGGGCCTTGAGTCGTCAAAGTCCCGTGATGAAGGAATCATTGCGATATCCTATTCCTCAAAGACGTCTCGAAGATTTGCTGGAAGAATCAATGAAACTGGCAGAAGGCTTTGCTCCACTGGTGAAGAATCTGATTTCTGCGACAGATCCAAGCACTATCATGCAGTTAAATGCAATGGATCGTCCCCCTTTCCCGCACCCGTCATTCCAGCATAGGCCAGTGGTATGGATCGGAGATGCAAACCATGCGGTTAGTCCTTTTGCGGGCAACGGTGCCAATATGGCAATAATGGATGCCTGGGACCTTGCCAACGCGCTCAAGAAAGCCTCAACCCCTGAAGAAGCCATCACAGCTTATGACAAGGTGGCCGTTCCTCGAGCTAGTAGGGTTCTGAAGTTCTCGCGTTGGACCATTGACCTTTTGCATGCCACAGGAGTCAAATTGTTCCTCTACAAAGTGGTCCTTCGTGTGCTGGGATTTCTAGCGCGGACAACCCCAAGCCATGACTGAGGGGTCAGGGGTATTGGATCTTGCTAAAAATGCCCTCACGGTTGAATGCGGCAAAGGATTTGCTTTAGGAACTCACAAGAGTCCGTGTATCTTTTCCAATCTGATCGGCCAAAGGGCTGCAAGAGACCGATCAAGTTGTAGCAGTATGTGTTAAGGGTGACCTTGGAATCCACACTCCACCATTTCCAATCAATCTGTCCTTCATGGTCGCTCCCTCTGTCCGGACTCCCAATCGATGCACCGGGACTCGGTCAATTTGTCTCTGCGTGCTCTGCCTCAAATCAACATAGCGCTCTGTCAAAGATCGATTTGACGCTGCTGATTTGACGCGCTCCAATGTGGCATCTGCTGCCCAGGCAGGTCGAGCCAAACTCGCGCTCGTAATGGCGACATCTTTGTAGAAATCAAAGAGTTGAGCTTCAACATCCGTCTCTTGGGTGGACTCGAGCTCTAGGGCTCGCAGATAACCCATCAGTATGACGGACATTTTGGCGTCAACAAAGTCCGCCGATTGGAAATCATGAATCAGGTAAACCCGAGCGGTGTTCTTCCCTACCACAGTTCTCCTTCCATCTGGGTCTGGGGAGACGAATATTATTGCCTGATGCCATTCGTCTGAAATGTTTTTTTCCGTGGCGATCTTGCTGGGCAGGTTTACTGCGGCCCAGCCGAAGAAGACACCTT